TTAAAACAATCTTTAAAAACAAACGTATCCTTGGATAATGAAATAGCGACGAATATTAGAATATATTTAGTATTTATATAGTATAGTATAGTATTTTTAATACTATTCACTGCATAAATTGATTAACTCCATGAAACAAAAAGTGGAGAAATGCGATGAAATAATGTATATTGTTTTTCAAAATTCCCTTTATAATTTAAATCGAAATAAATATCGTAGAATGCATAAATACGAATGTAACTTTCGTCTAACGGTATATAAAATTTATAAGAAAAAATAGCCAAAAGGCAATCGTTGGTAATGTTACCATTTTTATGTTACCGGAAGAGTTAATCGATTTGGCAAGTGAAAAAAGTAATAAATTTAAATTTTACTAAATTTTACTTAAATTCTGATAAGACGGCACTAAAAAATTCACCGTTATCATTCGTGGCTTGCTAGTGCATTCGAGTTGCATTATTGCAACGATTAGCATTAGAGTACGGAGTTAATCAAAGTGAGCTCTGAAATAAATTATTTATTATTCAGTGGCCAAAAATTTTTGTCGTTTAATGGTGTTGATCTTAATTATCAGGGAAAGTTATTATAAATATAAAAAGTCACGACTATACCAAGTGCTTTGACACTTAAATTTAAGACTTTTCAAAAAGTGGAGCTAATTGATTTGTGCAGTGAACGGCTCATATATACATATATATTTAGCATATTTTACAGTATGCACATATATAATATTTTTTAATTACTTATTTAATTTTGTATATACCAATTACATGAATTTAATTTTTGAAAATAATTATAAAATTTGAACAGAGGCATGTTAAGCAACAAGGAAATATTTCATTGCCTTATGCTAAACATGTTAATAACGTTTATTCGAACTTCTAAACGAAAATTCAACCAGTATTTTATATTCCCGTACAATTCAACAAGTCTTTTATATTCCCGCGCAATTCAAAAATATCTGTTATCATCATCGCTATATCGTCATCGCTATATCCACATTTATCGACAACTCCATCGACAGTCGCACCTGTACACCATGTGGAATGTTAAATCTAAGGATTTATACGATTACTACTCGACAAACTACAGTACGTGACAAAATGATAGCACATCCCATGATTTTCAATGTTTCTTACGACTAATGCAACGTAAATGCGAATTATACATATATACAAGTATTCTTCTTTAGAAGTATAGAAGGAGACTAACTGCAGTTTAAATTCCTCTACAGAAATTCTTTTATATACGTGGTTTCAAAATCTGGAATTACGAAGACTCCATAAACGATTGCCTGTTTAATCCCATAATATGTATTATTTAACATTTTATAGGTTGCTACTACAAGAAAGTTGATGTATACATAATTACATACAAAACCCAATATCTAAGTACCACGATACCTACATACCTAAATTTAATATAGACAGAAAAAAAATTAGCGAAAGGAAGATTATTTAAAAAATAATCAATGTATACGACAAAAAGGTGATTTAATCAAAAAGAAGTGAAAAATCGTAGTTAGAAAACGGGTTAAGTCTTTGGGGCACGCTGGGATTTGAAGTGTCCCACCATTTTGATGCATCGTAATGCATAGTGGGACATTTTTAGTCCCACCTGGAAATATCGCAATAGCTGCATGCGAATAGGTTTATATTTTGTCGTATTTACGTAAAACAGATGGTAATACCTTCGACAAATGTTATAAATGGATTCGCTTCTGTTGGCAACATTCAACATGGAACGGTGGGACTATTTCAGTCCCACCCTATAACAACAAATTCAATTAACCCTTTGCACTCGACGACTTTCTCGTTACAGAAAAATAGTAATTCGAAGACTTTCTGTCATAAAGTCGACGATATTTTTAAAACGGTAAATAAGAAAACCTATGCAAATTAAGACGTAGCATTATTTTACTTTCACATTCCACGCATCGTTAGGTAATTTTGAATTTGATATATTAATTAACATCGATCTTTAGAATCTGATTAAACGGTGACTGAGAATCGCCTCTTTATTTAGATGGCGTCACCCTGCATCGAGATCTATCTTTGCTTCCAGGAACCATCCAGCTTGTCAATTCTCGAAACAGGGTTGAGTGACGCAACGGGTTGTCATAAGGCCTATGAAAACCTAGCTGAAGGGTTGGACGAGACACTTTTTGACAGTCCACCGTCTGCACCACGCATCATAGAAGGCTTCGAGCCTCCGTATATTTTATACCTCCAAGAAATATAGAATATAACCAGAATCAAAATTAATCCGATCTTTACCACAATTATTATTATCGTAGGATACCATTTCGGAAAGAAATCGCGAATCGGCCATTGCCAGCAAAAACAAATTATAAACCGATCGACATTTTCTAGAAGCAAATGGAAAAGTTATTTTGGGTAACAAAATTAAGTTGCGTGGTCCCTACGGGGAGATGAAGCGTAGGATAAGAAAAGCATAAAAGCATGGTCCTTGACGACCAAAACAGAGTCCTTAGAAATCAGTTGTGACCAGCATGAGCGTGAATCGCTCGGTGTTGGAAAGAGAGTTAAATTAGAGTGCGTCTTTGTGTGTTTTCGTTTCGTTACCTTGGTGTTCGTTTCCTAAGTTAAATCAGTTTTATGAGTTTCGAGTTTGCGTTATTCTGTTCTTGTTGTTCTGTCAATTTTCGGTGTCTCAAAACCAGTTTTCGCCATCCTACATTATCTTTTTATGTTTTTCCATTTTGTGATTCCTTTATTGGTAAAAATATACCAATTTTGTTTCATTTAAAACGCAATAAAATTTCTATGCAACATTATTATTATCTGAAATCCCGTGCCGCGAAGAGTTAAAATGGTGGACGCTCGAATAATCGGGAGTCGACTGTTCTATCACTCCGTCACTCTTCATCCTGCATCCCGTGGAAACTAGGAACGAACAATCGAGAAATGGTCGTTTGATATCCGAAGTCTGGTCACGGGATGCAAATGTCGTTCCTCCTTCTCTGCGCTTCTGAGGCAGCTCATTTTTGCCTGATGCGTCTACCAAGCCGATTCTATCGCGGGCCTGAAACCGTACACCGACCACGCCGCTGATAGAGAGAGGATCGAGAGAGAAGCCGAGAATGGAGTCGAGGAGGTGAAGAGGAGAACCGTGTATACGTGCCTGGAAATCGTTCCTCGACGATGACTCGATCATCGACGAACATGCCCAGCTGCATACTGTCAGCCGACACACGCTTTCTTGCCGATCCTTTCCAGTGCCGAACCACTTACCAACACACCTGTACGAGGCGGTGCACCTGTTCGCTGCGAATGCAAGTGGAATCGAACGAATCTTAGTTCGCTGCGAGGTGAGAGGCGTTATCACTCAAGGTATCGAGGAGACCAGGGTGTTGAATCGAATACGGTATTTCTAACCTGATTAGGATTTGACGGTGCAAGTACCGACTTCTAACGGGCGTCTATGCATGGTGAAGATGATTCGAGTGGTACGATGAAAGATCTGTTAGAATAATTATGCTTCCATATGGAGAAGAGTGCAATAACTTACAAGGAGAGTGCAAGTCCTTCGGGTCTTAGATTTTGTTGAGACTTTGAAGGTTTGTGGATTTAGTCATCCAGTTCAAGAAAATATATTTTTATAAGGGCAACTATTCGATGGTTTATGAGATATTTTTGATTAAAGCTTTATTGTTCTTTATTATTCTTAACTAGAGATTTTTAAAATTTGAGGACGCAATCTACACAGACTCTAACCTTACTATTACTATGCTTGTAAGGCAACAAATCTGTCATTAACTTACATCCTCGACAGTCACAATTACTATAAAAAAATTGAAACGCGAAATACTGATTAGTTTTGCGGAGGAAATTTTCAAATTCCCAAATTTAAATGGTAGCTGCCAAAATTCAAGAACCCAATCTTCACAGACTCTAATCTTACCATTACTATTCTTCCTACAGCAATAAATCTGACATCAGCTTACATCTTTGACAGTCATAATTACTATATAAAAATTGTAACGCAAAATATAGATTAGGCTTGCGGAGGAAATTTTCAAATTCCCAAATTTAAATGATAGCTGCTAAAATTCCAGAACACGATCTTAATAGACTCTAAACTCTCCATTACTGTCCTTCGTATAACAAATTTGACATCAATTTACATCCTTGACAGTCATAATTATTAAAAAAATTGAAATTGCGAAGTATCACTTAGTTTCGCGGAAGAAATTTCCAAATTCCCAAATTTAAATGGTAGGTACCAAAATTCAAGCACCCAATCTTCACAGATTTTTATTTCAATATTACTATCCTTTGTACAGCAATAAATCTGACATAAACTTACATCCTCGACAGTCATTATTACCATAAAAAAAAAAATTGAAACGCGAAATATTGATTAATTTTGCGGAAGAAATTTTCAAATTCGCAAACTTAAATGGTAGCTACGAAAATTTTATAATGTAATCTTCACAGTCTCTAACCTCACTATTACTATCCTTCCTACAGTAACAAATCTGAAATCAACTTATACCCTTGATAGTCATAATTACTAGAAAAATTGAAATTGCGAAATATTGATTAGGTTTGCGGAGGAAATTTTGAAATTCCCAAATTTAAATGGTAGCTGCCAAAAGTGAAGAACCCAATCTTCATGGACTCTAATCTTACCGTTATTATCCTTCGTACGGCAACAAATTTGACATCAGCTTCCATCCTCGTCACTCATAATTAGAAAAAGAAACGAGAAAAAAGATTGAAACCGCGGTATATCGTTTAGCCAGAAGGATTCGGTCGTTTCGCGGAGTATCGGGCACAATAAAGTCTCGCGCACGGCTCATAAAACCTTGCGTGTGCATACGGATTCAAATATGACTTTAATGCCTTGGCTCGGTGAACGCGTAAACCTCTAGAACGCTAGTCGAGTCATAGGCGTGTTCCTCGTCAATAATTTACGGTTCCCGGCGGCACGGTGTCCGGTTGAAAGCACGGCAACAGAATGGCAAATGTACTCACTCTCCGACGCGTTCGCCGTTCCAGCATCGCCTGTCCGGATATTCTTCGCAGATTGTGTCGGCGAGCGTGCCGTAGAAGGTCCGGGACCTGACGACGCTGGCCAAGAAATTGCCCAGCTGCACGTGTAACTGCGTCAGTAATGTTCGATGCGTGGCAGGCGACGCAGCTGCGTGCATCTCGGGCCCGGTCGACGACGATTTCCCTGTTGCAGCTGCATCCGTAACGGTCCCCTCGCTCGATGGCTGCAGCTCCGACCGTCCGCAAACTTTCCTCACCTGAAACACGTCGTCGCGTCTTTCTTTAGCATCAACGCGCACTTCCGTTGCTACTGTTACCTGCGGGAGTTAACATTCCGCTACGGTCCACAGATACCTATATATCCGATGCGGACTATTGACGATCTAGGATTGGCATATATGTGCATGCTCGATGTGAGCTCTCCGTACAGGCAGTAGAATATATTATGGTGCTAGGTTTCGGATAGGTCGGGTCTGTATAATCTCGAACGTGTTCGAAAATTTTTGACCGACTTAATATCTCTTAGTCTACAACCACGTGTGAGACTCGTGGTCTGCTTTTCGAGCCAAAACTGATTATCACGAGCCTGACTCGTGGTACATCGGTTGGGTCGAAATTGACTATCACGGGCCTGGAACGTGATATATCGGCCGGACCAAATGTAAACGTGTCACGCCCATGGTTTGTCGATGTGCTCCACGCAAGTCCTGTGTGATTCGTGCAACTTGAAACAGATTTTTCCAGTCGTCGAATGGTTCTGTTTACGTTCTGGGACCACGCTGCTGAATTTTAAATCACAAAGCAAGGGGTTAATGGATCATTTGTACAGTCGGTATAGTTTATTCCGAAGTGAACTTGCGGTTGTCCAATGTGTATATGAATCTCTGAATGATTTTGTAAATTTTCGGCATAGTTGATAGAGTCTACCGATGAATAGTGTTGCTGTAGGTCCAGTGCAAACAATTTTGGACGAGTTCAAAAATCTGTGAATAATCTGACGTCCAAAGTGGAAGATTGGTGGATAGATTAGGATGCTCGATGATGTGCGAGGATTAAGATACGCGTGTATATTCAACGTTAATCAATGTAGTCAATAGAGCCCATTGCAGAGTAAAGTCGTGCTAGGTCTGACAGCTCTGTTCAATTTTAAACCTGTTTGCAAATCTTTCAATGATGTAATAAACCAGCAGCGTAGTCTGTTGCATAACAACGTGGAGATAGGTCGAGTCCAAAGAATTTTGGATGCGTTCGCGAGTTTTTAAGTATAGCCAGTAGAATCTATTGTGGCGCAAAACTGCGACAGATGAAGTCTAAACAATTTTGGGTGAACTGATGATCCACGACCCATTTATATTTAGGTTATTTAATGCCCAGAGTGAATAATAAACATGTATAATATATGTAATTGTTTATAATGTGCATTATCTTGTAGGATGGTGACAAATGAGCATACTTCTATGATGTACGAGAATTGGGACTATGTCAACTTATAAGATGCTAGATTTTCTACCAATTGCTATTCCATTGTGACCAAATTCATTTTTATTTAATTCCTCACTGAAATTTCAGCTTACATTGAATATGCATCTTCTCTGGTTAACTATGACGCGACACAGTCTACGACTATGACGATTCTTGCCTTGCTAGACTCTGCCATTCTTTCACTACAACTCGACTAATCTTCCTTTTCACATATGCATTTTACCATTCATACTCCCAGCCACGAGCATTCATTCTTTCTGTACTAGCTTGTTGCTTTTATGATACATAGCCATGCCTAAGACACATTTAAACACATCCATCCACGGATGACAATGCATCCTCCTTCACGTGGCTATCTCGAGTACTCTGACCAAACACTCTCCTTTCAAACTTCTGACACCAGTCCAATATCCTCCGTTCACGCTGCTATTCTCTTTATTCGCACAACGTAAATACTACCACTCCCACAGTGATATATGTTCATATTTACGCTGTACTTAATTGCCTCCATCTACATATGGACTGAACTATGAACGTGATATTTCGAGTTCTGACTGATGTCTAATGTTTCGTATGTTTCTAATATAAATATTTTCCATATTCATTCACGTTGATCCATTTGAATTTTATCAACATCCCATTTTTAGCCCGCGTATTTCTTAGTGTGCTGAATCTTTTGAACATTCTGATGTGTTGCCATTAGTTCTGCGATTTTCTTAGAGGTGGTGCTGGATGTGGATACTTTCTACTGTGGTCAATAGGCATGGTATGCCAATAGGAAGAAAAGAAGTTTAACCGTTTGAGTCCCAAGCTGCGCGATCGCACTCAACTTTGCTGATGTACGTCACATAGTACCAACAAGCGCTATTGCGACGATTGGGATATTTCGACATAAAATTAGACAAGCGCTATCGCGCCGTTTGGACTTTTTCGTACTCGATTAACAAGCAAGCGTTATCGCGCTGTTCAGGGTTTTTCCACCGTGTTCTTCCGAAAACCTGATTGGGACTCAAACGGTTAATGTCCTCGTTGTGTATTTTCTAAGCAACTGGCGACTGTTGCTAAGCAACATTCTGTCAAGTCAATTCACAAAACAGATAGTAGAAACTTTGACACTATGGATATTAAAAATTGGGAACATAAATATTCTGATGTGCTTTCATTAGTTCTACTATTTTCCTAGAGGCGGTGCTAGATGTGGATGCTTTCTACAATGGCATGTCAATAGGAAGAAAGGAAGTTTAATGTCCTCGTTGTGTATCTCCTAAGCAACTGGTGACTGTTGCTAAGCAGAAAGTCTTCTGCCAAATCAATTCACAAAACAGAGAGTAGTGTAGTGTTTCCTTAACCACTTGCGCTAGAAAGACGTGCCACGCACGTCGTAATGCTTTTGTCGCAGAATCGCCAACGACGTGGTACACACGTCGTCAGGCAATTGTCACAGAAACACTGGACCGTTCTGGCACACGCGTCTGTGAATTTCTTGCCAGCGCAAGTGGTTAAATAGAAGTTCCTATGCCACCTGAGTATCCCCGGTCTAAGGCAGGGCCTGTTAGAAGAAAGTCTTACCGATGAGTCCACTAGCAGACGCGGGACGAAACGCATCCCTTCCTTTTTCTGTCGTCCTTCTACCTGCTACCCTATCGATAGCAACGACGACCACCGGGATACCACCAGGCCATCACCATAGGACACCAGCCCATCACGGGAACGACAAGTCAGCTCACCGTAAAGAAGTCAGTTCGTATCAAGCTCGAGTACATCGAGTCAACCATTGACTCTCCCTTGTAGACAGAATATTTGGAGTGGTATCTACCCTAAACCTGATATACATATCCTACAGCAGAAACTTTGACACTATTGTTGTAGTAAAATTAACGCTAGAACTACCGATCTTTAATGGGTACCTAACTATAACGTGCACAGATTATATATTGATTAAAGCTCTTTCTTAATATGAGTTGATACCAATTTTATTCTTAAAGCAGATGTATGTGTTCGGTGATTGCGAAAAGGAAAATTCTGCGACCAGTCATTTTGACTGGGTTGCTAGTTCTAGCGTTAAATAGTAAAGTAAACTCTACATCCTGGCAATGTGGGGGCGATCCCTTCCCCTGCGTTTTGTCTCCTGTCTCCAATCTTATGAAGACGACTTGTCACCTGCGTGGCCCTAAATAGACCACCCGTTCAATAAAGATCTTTACAGTTTTTCCACAGTTTTCCACTGACTACTATTCCTTTGCGTTATAACCCCTTTAACAACTATGGATTTTAAAAATTGGGAAAAATGGAGGAAGAAATTCATCGATTTAGCCTGTGAAAGACTCATATGAACTCAATAATTGAACTTCACTTGACTATCACGATGGCACGCCAACTCAAGTCTATGGGAAGCTTGTTTTCGAATTGCTATATCCTCGTAGGATTAAGAAAAGAACGAAACAGTGTGACCAAATATCTCTGCAATAAATTTTTATCGCTATTCTCCTGATGATGTTTTACGACTTCCCACTCCTGTCTCATCGAACGATATGGGCACATTGAAGAGGGTATTTTTCGTAAATCGATGTCATTGTGGACAGGAGATCAAGTGAAATGGTGTAACAGGGCCTCGTATATCGATTATGGCCGAACGACAGAAAAAATAATGGGTGAGATAAATTGCTAGGTACTCGAGATGGTGAGGGTGAGTTTCGAATTACTGGATAATTTTGTTGACGTGATATAGGACTATTTTGAAACGTAAAAATTGGTTTCAGAATTATTTGTGAGATATAAGTGAGCAAAATGATCTATAATTTTCCAATACTTTGTTATCTAGTTGTTTTATCATATAGACTGTGTATTTCCTTCGTTAGCATATTGTGAAATTGATATTACAGGTATTTATATGTACTTTGTGTGAAACCGTGTCAAAAAGTAGACGAATGACTCAAATTATTTAAGAAAATGACAAAGAAGTATAATCTGAAACGTATTTTTATTCTAAAATATTTGTGAGATTAGAAAATGGACTTTAGATGATATAAATTATCTAACTATCGCAAACTGCAGAAATTTATTTAAAATATCGAATATTTTATTATTTTAGGACATTATTATTATAGGAGATGAATCAATAAAAAATTGTTGAAACCAATTTTATCTCGGATATTACAAAATTTGATAAAAGATAAAATATCAAACACTGTTAACAGCTATCGAATATTACATTATTATATAACGGATAAATTATCAAAAATAGCCAAAAAGATAGTCGAAAATTAAATTATTCTATAAATTATAGAATTATTTAAATAAATAATTCCTCAATAACTCCGAACAAAGGGAAGAAACGAAAAATAGGGAAACAAAGAACAGCCAAAAGGGAACAAAGGATACAATGAAACAGATAAAGCACACATTACAGAAAATGGAGAACAATAAACGATATAAAAATTTCACGAGAATACACGACTATACCTACACAATTTCCCGCCAATCCATATTCATTCCGTGCAGCACAAGCTGCAAAGTTGGTGCTCGTTATTTTTCAAAATCAAACTTTTTTTTTATCATTCGGAGCATTTTTCCCTTCGTCGTTAAAGTTCAGCCCTCGGTTCCAATAAAACGCGCGAGACAATGGGGCAGTCGCGTTCGTAAAAAGCTGGGGGTGAAAAATCGCCACTGGAATAGATTGAACCCTTCCGCGTTGAGAAATGAACGTATTTGTCACGGCCGAAGCGCTCCATCCTCTCTCATAGGCGACACTTCATTTTTCTCAATAACGCTGCAA